TGGTTTGGGTCTGCCCATTAAATTTCTTGACAACAACAACAACAAAAAAATATATATATATAACACTAGCATCATCCTTTAAATTATTAATATGCCAGTGTAAACTGTTAATGATGAATATTTTATTGAGTAAAGATAGTCAGAGTTAGAATTTAAGAGCATATGCATTCACACCTCATACAAACATAAAAGAGAATAGGAAACATCATTGATCTAAAACATCAGACAATATTTATATGGAGTTCAACATTTGATTTGTCTGCAAATATTGTTTACTAACTTTCATAAGGATTTATGAAACCTTGATGTATTTTTAAAAACTCTTTTATCAGGGAGGTCGGCAGTGATGAAGAGATATTGCCGGACTTCAAGCAACATGTTGCCAACGTTGTGCAGCTGAACATTCATCTGATCAGCTCTGTATCAGACCGTAAAGTCTCCTGAGGCTCTGGATGAAATGTCAGTTAAATATCAGGAACATCAGTTCCCGCTGACCATAATACTCCCTCAGAGTGCCCATCTCTCATATGAGCAGTGATGAAGTGCAGCAAACTGAGCGAGCAACAGCTGGCGTACAGATATTACAGCGATCTGTTTTCACCCCTGAGAAAAGAGACTGCTGGGCTGAGATATCAGACGCCAACAAAGCCAGAGAGCTTCTGGATTTCACGGTGAATTATTTGGGTGTCTGGGTTCAACGCAGGAACCTCAGATAGCCCCCAGTTGTTGTGGAGGGTAAACAAGTAAATCTCCTCTTTTTATTTGTGGAATACAGTTTACAATCTCAGAAGCATCTACGCATACACACCAAGGTTGTTGCAGATGAAGTCCATAAATGAGCTTTTACTGACATCCTATGGCAAATTCTTATCATTACACTGACCTCCAGCACTGCATGTTAAAAACTGGGCCAGTATTGTATGTGTTTTGGACCAGTGTGTTCAGTGGTCTTCAGGGTATCAAGATCTTAAGAATGACACCATGTTCCTCTTATTTTAATTATAAAGACTATAGGACAGTCAGTCCACAACTTCAGTGGTCAGTCTACATTGAAATATCTCAACAACTTTTCCTCTGGTGCCATCAGCAGGTCCACATTTATGGTTTTGAATGAAATGTCTCCAAAACATTTGGATGGATCGTCATGATATTTTGTTGAGACCTTTATGTTGCCCTGGGGGTAACTTAAAATAACTTTTGTGATCCTCTGACTTTTCATCTAATGCTAATCAGCAAATGTTAGCATGCTAAGACAGCATGTGAGACTCTCACCCTGGACTCATACACCTTTCAGGGTCTTTTTTATTATCAATCCATAACTGCACTACAACTTTACAGCACACCTGCATTTAATTTTGCTCTACTTGCAGTATGTCCACCTCACACATGCATATGTACCATAAAATCATCCATCTTCTTTAAAGTTACTGTTTATAAGCCTTGTATATTGTTGTATTGTATAGTTTTTTGCTCATTATCTTTGTTATTTTTGCTCTAAGCCTCTGTAACATCAGCATGCTGATGTTAGAATTTAGCTGAAAGCACCACTGTGCCCAATCTAGGAACCCTTTGGCTATCGGAGCCCGGTCTCACTCCGAAGTCGTCAAAATCCAGTACACGGTCAGTTCAATGGCGCCTGGTGGCATCAGGGGGAAATGCAGCAGGACAAGGATGAAAGACAAGGCAGCGAAAGTCCAACTGGGGCGGGCGGGAGTTGTGGTACATGGGTCCAACAAACACTGACTTTCACCTGAGAGAGTGGTGTTCGCGTCCGGTAAGATTATAAGGCCAAACCTAACTTCGTGCTTTTGTTGCCTAAACCCAACCACATGTTTTTGTTGCCTAAACCTTACCATGTGTGCAAGTTGCTGAAGGAAATGTCAATTTGCAATGTTGTGCCAACATTAAATATCCTGTGGGTCATTTCAGCTGATCTCTTTCAACCATAGTTTTTCACAGATATCTGATTATGGATGCAGAAGATTTAAAAAAAAAAAAAAAAAATAGAAGCTATAAAGCTAAAATGTCTTCAGGTGATAACTGATGGGTTCTGAGACTGCATCTTAACCAATGTGCTCAAACATGATTGGTCAATAGGCCCAGTGGTGTAGTGGAGCGTATACACAGGTATATGGGGTATATCCATCTCTTCCTTCTGGCTGTTTACAGTATACCCGCCTATTAGCCAAAAAGTCATTGGAATATATAGGACAGTATATCCACTTCCTCCTCTGTAACCTACCCATTTACCTCGCAGTACATCCACCTCCTCAACTACTATGAAACCACTTAAAAGGCTGATTACTTGGACCACAAACTGAAACAGGAACGCTTCCAATTTCAAATGTGTGTCCATCTGCCTACAGATTCTGCAGAGGCCTATACATGTAGATGTCTGTTTATGGAGATTATACTGTGCCTCAGTACAGCCTTAAAGAGCCGCTACCATGGCTGCAGACTCCTAGTGTTTTGGACAACAGTAGCGCTCCATGGCACAGAGGAATATATAAGGCTTTGATACACACACAGCGTTTGTTAGTAGTTACATTTACTGCTGGGTTTAGTCTTACGCATATCTACATCTTTTGAATATCACCAGACTTTTGAATGACTATAACTGATATCAATTTACAGTTATCAGTTTATATTTCTATGCATATTACAACCTTTGCATTACAGGTGACTGTAGAAAGTTTCTCATGAACTATGATGCACTTTTTCTACTCGTTTGTGTTGTCATTATGTTCCAAACTGTCATATTTCAGATTTCGGAGGGGATGTAGGGGACACATCCACAATAAACACATGAACGTAGTAGAGGACTTTTATTTTGACAAAATTTGTCCATAATTACACCATAATTAGATGCAGAAAAAGCACAATTTGGTGCATAAAAGTTACCCACAGTGCAGAAAATTAAGTGTTTGGTGCTCAAAATGTTCTGACAAAGGACCCCTTGTTTCGTATGTCCTCCTTGAAGGACAAAACCTATGCCTTTGCGTATTTCTATCAGATTTTAACTGAATAAAGATATAATGTTCTGCCACAATTTCATTGTACATGAGTTAAACACATGTTCTTCTTCATCTGTAAGGTAACTATAAATTTATAACAGCCAGCACAGAAGAGCACTGTTGATACTTAAGATGGATGGATGATGGATTTAAAATGGAGGATCACGCTAAAGCTACTTAAGGGTGAATTACGCTGATACTCAAGGTTTGAGAGGTTAAAGAGCGTTTATAGATGGCGAGCCTCTGTGTGCTCTTCGTGCTTTGAAAACTTTAACCAAATTAGCTAAAGTCAACAGTCAGCAGGCCTCTTCTTATCCTATTATGGTTGGGCCTTCTCCACTGGATATTTGGAATTTGAATATCCACACAGGCTTCATTTCACGTTACGTAATGCTGTTTGAGGAAAACTGCTGTGTACTGGCTCCGGCTGACACCAGTAAGAGTTTAAGACATAAAATACAATCAGATAATTCAATCTTGGAATACCATTGCACCTTCATGCTAAAAAAGGCAGGTTGAAATACTTGATTTAAATCTAAAAAATGTGATTTGCAGTCAAAACCCATCATTTAATTAAAAGACAGTATATAATAACATTCTGAGAGTTAAAGGTTCAGTGTGTAGGATTTAAGGGGATATACTAGCAGAGATGGAATATAATATAATACGTATGTTTTCTTAAGTATAGAATCACCTCTGCTTTTGTTACCTTAGAATCAGCTTAGAATGAGCTGTTTATATCTACATAGGGCGCAGGTCCATGGAGATGGCCATGTTGCACCGCCATGTTTCCACTGTAGTCTAGAATGGACAAACCAAACACTGGCTCCAGATATAGAGCCATTAACATTTTTGTGTCAGCCATAAAGTTAGCAGCCTCCGGATCCAGCCTCTGGATGCCTGGATCTTAAGTTATCAAAAAGGTGCATTAGCAGGTGCTGGACTATTGGCCCATCTCTAGCAGGCCAAACAGCATTGGAGAAAGACTCATTTGTAATATGAAAATGCTTCATTCAGTGTTTTTAGCAGTTTAAATTAACAGGTCCATTTATTTAAGAGAGGAAGAGACCTCTGCAGATCATTCGGCTCCCTGTAAAAACCTCCTGAACAATAACTACTGAAGGAATTCTCACCTGGAGAAGTTTCAGCTGATTGCAATTTGCAATCCTCACCACTAGCCGCCACTAAATCCCCCTAAACCTCACACAGTGCTCCTTTAATTAAATTGCAGTGTAAATATGAGAAATATAATAAAGGAGTGCATATGATCTTATAAAGTATTTCTTACTCTTTTTTTTTTTTTTTTGCAGTTCATTGTTTTTTCTAAAAAAGTAAAGATTAAAATTTCAAAGAGCCCAAGGTGACGTCTGATGTCTTGATTTGTCTTACCAACTGTCCATAACCATAAGTAGTGTGCTATTATAAGACAAAAGAAAGCAGCAAATTCTCAATCAACAAGCTGGAACCAGAAAATGAACCAGCAGACACCAGCAGCGAGGACAAAAATATTGGTTTAGGATATGTTTTAAAACACTTTAACAGAATCCACGGAGGTGCTTTCATGTTCCCTCCCTTCCTTGTAGCCTATGTAAAAACCTAATTGGCAGTAAACTTGATTCTACAATTAGGAATGGCAGACATTTTAAAACAGGTTGTTTTTTGTTATTGTTGTTTCATTTCATTATCAATGGCTCCGTTCTAACAAGTGTCCATTATGTGTTCTATCAGTGAGTCGCCACAGTCATCAGCTCACCTATGCAGTTGCGTGTAATGTTATCAGTTACACCTGTGCTTTTCCTGCTGTGACAAGCCCAAATGTCTGCTGTGAAAAAGCCACTTCCCAGCATTACATAGCTCCAGGCAACGTACACACTATGACAGGTTCAATCAGCTGGTGTATCTGAAAACACCTGTGTGGGTATGCAGAGCCTTTAACAGCATTAATGACTTTGGTGATCCTCTGATTTTTCATCTGGTGCCATAATCAGATGGAAAATTCTAATTTGTCCAATTCCCATCAGCCTCAAGTTTGTGTTCAGAGCTAATTAGCAAATGTTAATCAAAGCATGTTGGCATGGAAAACATTACACCTGCTGAACATCAGCCTGTTATTAACAGTGTCACTCAACAATGCGCACAAAAATAAATAGTGCCACAGTATTTACTTGATCATTTCCAATCCACATAACAGATAAAATATGCAGGAGGAACTTTGTGGTACACTGTGTATTTTGAAATTTGCCTCAAGACCAGACTTCACAGTTTCTCCTTAATCTGCTTTAAAGCATACAGGTCAATAAGCATTTAAGAGTTGTAAAAACTTCACAACTCCTTTTTAGATAAACACTGTCACTTAATCTCAGTCCTTTCATTGCAGCTGCTTCACCAGCTCCTCGTCCATCTCAGAGTCTGAAGGTTCGTGCAGCTTCACCATTTTTTCTCTACCGAGCTTCACCTTCGGTTTAAAGGCCACAGAGAGCAGCTCCTTCTGGATCCTCTGCTCCCTCTGCCTCCTCAGCAGAGCCAGGATCTCCCTCCTCTGGTCGGCCATGGCTACATACCGCTGTCTCTCCTCCCGTCTCTGCCGGAGAGCAGGGATACTCGGCGGCTCCGGGGCGGACTGTCTGGGACCGGTGCTGCTGCTGCTCCGCTGCGGCCGGGACACCGGCAGTCTCTGATGGATGTCTGCGGACACCAGCCGGGACTCCAGCGGCGGCAGGAGGGACAGCGAGCTCCACAGCTGCCGGGCGTGGGACACATCCTCCGGAGAGGAGCCGTCAAACACGGTGAAGAATTTATCAAACTCCTCCTGCTCCTGAGGCTCAGCCTGGGCGGACATTTTGCTTTTAGAAAACTGTTAACAAGAAAAAATAGTAATTATAGAGGGAGTTAAGACGAGGTTCAATTAGCATGTGAAGTGCGCTGTTGTTTGGTATGGTCACCATGGAAACGAAAGTACTACGGCAAGCCAGTATGAACAATCCAAAATGCTATAATTTTCAGAATAAAAGTAGATTATTGGTAGTATAACACTGTTGGAAAGATGGTCTTCTTATAAAACTAGGCAGTCTATGTGGTAGATAGATGTAAATACTTTCAGATGACCAGAGAAAACATATGAAAAGCACTGTGTTATTTACTTTTGCTCAGGACATTTAAAAAAAAAAAAAAAAAAAAAACCTACCAAAATGCACTGTGCCTCAACGGACTATTAAACGCTCCATCTAGTGGGTTAGGTAATGCAACCTTGGCCAGGTGGCATGTATGGTGGTAACAAACCATCTCGAATTACATTTAAACGGTGAGCTAAAATATGCTTCTGAACACATTTAGGCAAGACATGTGCAACATATTAACAGAATTTCGGTTCATATTTGATCAGAACTGCTTAGTTGTACCATTTAATACCAGTTTTTTCAGCCTTCCTTTTAATATGATAGGAAATAGTATAGTGCCCGCTTCCTGTTTACAAATTCTCCTTTCACAACCAAACAGTGCACTAAAATGTGTTTCTAAAGGCATTTTAAGAGAGAAATAGGCAATACAGTTACAGAATATTGGTTCATATCACTTTTATCAGCACTGCCTAGCTCTCTTTGTACATCCGTGAGGCCAGTTTAATGGTATGTCCCATTTGTACTTGAAGATTGGAATTTCTGAGTTCCACATTGGAGATTTCACTGGAACGCAAAATTTGTGCAAAATACAGCGTAATGCATTGTTATCAGCTAGTATTGCTAATGTTGGTTATCCTGGCTAGAACTGGTATTGCTCACAACGTATTGGCTTTCTGATTTGTTGTAGAGGAACGTGATCAGCTTGAGTGTGATGTCATTCCCAGCTCTGACCTCTGACTTCCAAGGTGAATGGAACACAGCATCTATCTACTGGATGACACATTTCCTGCAACACCTCCTCTCCCCTCCCTCAAAATAGAACTAACAAAAGTAAAAGTACTCCTTATATAACTGAATGGCTTCTGTTGCGGTAGTGTCACCATATATTATTCTCCTACAGATGCATTCATGTGTGAGACTGATTTGTTGTAGGTTGTTGGTGTGGAGTTACTTTTAATGACGTTATATATTTTTGTGCAGGCAATGTATTTACACAGTTTATTGAAATGTAGCATATAAAAACTAATGATTTGCATGTATAACCAAAACTTAATCTAGAAAGCAATTAACAAGTAACTAGCCTAGAGCTGTCAAATAAATAGTCTGCTGGAGTAAAAGTATAAAGTAACAGAAAATGAAGTTACTTAAGTACAAGTTTTACGTGAGTTTGTAGTGTAAAGTTGTAGGTAAGTGCACACTTGAGTAAATTTAGCAGCCAAATATAATCATGCCAACAGTTCATAATAGTTAACACCTCCACAGATGTGTACAGTTCAAAGCTTTTAATTTGAAGGCAGAATAATGAAACATGTTCTCTTGCTGTGATTGGCTGAATGGACGTCGCTCGTGGCTGCTGCCAACTTTAGGAACGAGGCGGGTCGCGGGCGCTGCTCCACCCCCAGGTGTCGCGGGCTGGTTTAAATAGCGTGAAAGGAGGAAGACCGACATCATCATCATCATCATCAGTTAGTTCACCTGACATGATATTCTCATTTCCCTGGAGTTGAGCCTCCATCTGCACTGAGGGCTGAAGCACTGCACAGTGAGTATAAAGACAATTTTATATATATATATATATATATATATATGTACTATATAATTTTCTATAAACAGCTTTATTACTGGAAACATGTAGAGGCTGGTGTTACTTCAATGCAAGGAATTACAAATGCTATTAATATTTTCTTATAGGTGAAAATTAAAGAAAAACTAAGGAGACTCAGAGGTCATATTTCTGTCACTCTAAGTGCAATATTTGTTAATATTTGTTGTTGAAGAGTTAATAGAGATGATAAACAGATACACTGAATTAAGTGTAATTCAAAACCAACAGACGGCTGCATTATCCTGAATCTCTTCAAGGTCTTTTTTAAAGATTAAAAAAAGATCCAGGATGGTATTGTAATCATTATTGTGGTTTGTTGACACTCACTGAAAGCATTTATTTTCTTAGTCAATATGACAAAACTCTTCATTAGAGATGCTGGATATTGATTCCTGCCCACATACCTGCTCTGTTTTGCGTGTGTGCCGGCAGCCACACATGGATGCACCTATGACATGTCACCATTTTGGTGTAAACGGTAAGCTTGGCTGGACACATGAGCTGCACCTTATAAGGTAGTATGCCTGCTAAGTCCTTAGCATCCCTCTTTGGGCTACCAAAGCTACCAGGAGCAAAGGGGTTAGCCAAACATGGGCATTCCAGCATGGCAGCTCAGTTGTTTGATTATAGGGGTTATCTGTGTGCTGCTTTTCATGTTTTATTGCCTGCTGTTCAATGGGAGGTCAAAGCAGCCTTGTGACCCACACGAAGAGGCACTGACAAGGATAAGTGAGTAAGTATTGTAGCTCATTGCAAACCTAGGGAAATGTACCGAGGCTGTTATCTGCAGTAACCTGTCACTAAAACCAAATGGAAATGAGTGTCAGTCGGATGCAAAGGCAGCAATTTGAGTCATAGAAAATATGAGCTGATGTGTTTTGTTGATGCTCGTTTCTGTGTGATGATTCCAGCTGTGTGGTTGTTTAAATATCTGCACAGCTACTGAAGAGATTATGACTGATGATTTTTCCTCTGCTTGATGTTACACTTATTTTGCTCTTTGCACAAAATTACGTGGATGTTGAATTACAATATGATGACAGGAGTTTGGGGTTATTTGCTTACTGTGTGTTTTCATTTTTGAGTGTTAAATTCTTCATAGATAATAACTTAAGACATTTTTCCTTCAAATTTTCTCTTTGATTGTTGCTTAGTTAGGCATAAATATTAAATATTCCAAAAAATACTTAAATTATGAAACCAAAGGTCAATTTTATTACTAAATGTTACTTTTTACAGTCTGTTTCTTTGGCACTTTAGGCCCTCAAGACTTTTTTTGACTTTGTTTATGAGTTAATAACTTTGGGCAAGGCATGTTTATTTGTATATAACATTTCAAACACAAGGCAATTCAAAGTGTTTTACAATAAGTGTACAAAGGCATGAACATATAAAACAAGCAGAACAAAAGACAATTTATAGAAGAAAGTATAAAATGACTTAAATAAAACAGCAGAATTACAGTAGACATTTTTAACCTTCATTTATTCAGGCAGGTTTTACTGAGAGGAAGCTTCTATTTTGCATCACACTCACATAGTTACACACACACACACACACACACACGCACACACACACACACCTGAAAGCTTCCCAGTACAGCCACAGTTGCAGCTAGCCTGGCTCTGTCCATTTTGCTTACCAGCATCTCTTAAGATCACTAATTAACATGCTATATCCATATTTGTTTTAATTTTACAAAACCATAGTGTAAAAGTCAACTACTGCAATTTGTGGTTTTATGGGGGCAGCAATGCAATGCTGGAGTCTTGTTGATGTTCCTGCTGCCCCTGTTGTTGCAGCCTTATTGATGGAGGACTGTGTTTTAACAAATGAACCCAGTGTGTTTTACTTCACATTTTCACTGTTTGATTTCTGCTGTCTTCTATGTTAGCAGGCCAGAGGTTACACTGAGGTCAGAAGACAATTCGACTCCCATCTACCCACCAGAGGCTGACCCAGTCGTCAGTGACGATCCAGACGTCAGCTCAACCACCTCTGAATCACCAGCAATCGACTCTGATTCTGTCACTGCCACCGCCTGCACACCTCAGATCGATTCAACCACAGATAGTGATACTTCCAACATGGCTGACGCGGCGACCGATGACAGCAAGTTCCTCTTCTCTGATAATGACTTTCGAAACAGCGGGATTGCACAAGCCGATTGGGCGGCCAAGAAGATGGTGTGGATACCATCAGAGAGGGAGGGGTTCGAGGCAGCCAGCTTAAAGGAGGAGAAGGGTGATGAGGTAATGTATGCACTGATGATGTCACAACAGATTCTCTGCTGTCTCAGTATGCTGCCGTAGTCACATTTCTTAACACTTTATTGGTCTATATATTCAACAACAGTAAAAGTGTACTTTATACAAAACTCTCGTTACTTAATGCCAACATAAAGAGACTGCACAGAGCTGCTTGACATCAATACATTTGAGCTTGTAAGCTATATTATGGAAAAATTCTGGTCTTGACAGACCACACACTGTGCTTCTGGCTGCAGGTGGTGGTGCAGCTTTCCAACGGTCAGAAGGTGACAGTGAACAAAGACGACATCCAGAAGATGAACCCACCCAAGTTCAGCAAGGTGGAGGACATGGCCGCCCTCACCTTCCTCAACGAAGCCTCCGTCCTCCAAAACCTGCGGGAGAGATACTTCTCCAGTCTGATCTATGTGAGCAACACACACGAACACATGCACACACGCATATTTATTGTCATTTTCAGAAATAAATAGAGTTATGAAGACACAAGCACAATATAAAACATGGCATTGCAACATGCCAATAAAATCACTCGTCAGGGAAAGAAAAATAATATAAGTACAGTAATAACAATAATAATGATAAATGACCACAACAGCAAATTAAAGCTACATGGCCTAAATTACATCTAAAAGTAATCTAATTCTAGTATAGTTCGAGTATAATCAAAGTATCATCCAGTTGCTTCTACAATGTCAGATACCCTGTAGATGTTATGTCATTGTTCTCCAGAAAACTGGAGAAGATGCAGCTCACATTTGTGCAGTTTTTCAGAACATTGCATCACCTGACAACAAATATTTGTCTCAGGTTTTTTCTCTGAAATTATTGTGTGTTTAAAGTGAATTGTTTAAGAGGAAGAAGAAGAACTAACCTAAAGCCGTCAAGAAATTTAAAATGTATACTTATTGAAAAAGACAACCATAAACCTACTAA